GGTGGTGCTGCGGTCTACGTGGTTCGTGTTGGGGGTGGTATGTGGCTGGCTGCTGGAAGGTGCAGTGTTTGTTTGTGATCCTGCCGCTCCCCAGGGATGATGTGATCCCTATCTCAGGCAGCAGAGCTGTACTTTTAAAACAATCCAACCCAGGAACAGCGGCCTCCCTCCCACAGTGCCTGACCAGCGAGTGGAATGTGTACAGAGGATATGGACAGGGCTGAAACAGTCAGTCAATTACTTCCTTATTTGGAGTCTTTTCCCATTCCGCCCAGACACAGAGTCTGCAGACAGAAGGAAGCATTAAAGAGAACACCGCAGTGTAAAGACTTGGGGAAAGGAAATCCAAGATGGAGACCTTTATAAAAGGCATTTCAATAAAACATTATAGCACAAGCTTCACACACAGAGTCTATTCTGGCCGTGTCTTATCAGAGCTGGGAGAACCTGAGCAGTGTCTGTGGTGACAGATACCGAGTACAAACTGCTCATTCAGATGAGAAGTCCTGCTGGACTCAGAATGCTAACCCTGCTTCTGCCTGCAGACAGTGCCAAACACATCCCACCTGTTTCCAGGGCTGTCTGCTCTTTTAAAATCTCACAGAGTTGCTGAACAGATCCCATGAGAGTGCTGCTAACAGATCCCCACCCTCCAACCTCCTATTCCTAACTCACGTACTGGAGCTGAGACTTGTATCAATTCCATCAGCATTAAAATTAAACTCCACCTTCTGGATTCTTGGCAAGAGGTTAAAACTTGACAGACTGCCAAAAGGATGTCTATCAGAGGCCCTGCAATACAGAGGCAGTATTTTTCCACAGTTAAAACTTCTGATATATAAAAAAATTCTTTCGTAAGGCAGGGCTGGGAAATAAGCAGAATACCTCATAGTTGTGATCTTCCACTCCGAATATAGATCAAATAAAGATTAAGATCTTTATCAACAGGAAAAGGAGTTAAAACCGTGGTTCATCAAGACTCACGTTATGAAATAAAGAAGTTACGCAAGGAAATAAAAGAACTTTTTAAAATTATTTCCACACAAAGCAAGGGCTTTATCACATCCACAAGGGACTGACTGAACAGAGTATTTTAAATTGCTCAAGTATTTAAAAGGGAAACATTTGCAGGGCTATGGGTTTGGGGCAGGGAGTGGGAGTAGGTGCATTGCTCTCTTCGAGGGCTATCAGTGACACCGGTGGGCCGACTGGCCTCCTCCTGTTCCAAGGTTTTATTGCTCCACAGGGTTACTTTTGCAGATGCCAAAATGCAATTCGAAAAAAAAAAAAAAAAGTGTTACATGCCTTCAATATCAGGCAGGACAAGGTCCATCGGGAACATCACACTCTGCTGACTCCCAAGACGCTTCCGGGGGGGGGGAAGGGGGGGGGGGGGGGGGGGCGGGGGGAGACCAGGATAGTCTCCCGGCTGTTGGGAAGTGGAGTCCTGTCAATAACCCCCGCCACACTGTACCAATTGCACCCCCTGACGGGACTGCCGACTGTGTTTTACATTCACATTTCAGGAGCCAATGTAACAGCGCGACAAGGAGGAGAAGTTTAATTCACCCACCTTCTTAGCCCGTAGACATAACAGATCCCAATGACTTCAATCAAAACAATCACCAGAAGTACCAAGGTGGCTGCATAGTCATTGAATATGGAGAACCAATAATTCCCCGATCCAATGTTGAACACAAGTCCAATAACACAAGCTGTGAGACACACGATCCCTGGTGAGAAAAGGGAAAGAAAAAAAAAGTGAAATGCACTGGCAATTTCAAAGCATAAACAGAGTCATAGAGATATACAACATGGAAACAGACCCTTTGGTCTAACTTGTCTATCCTGACCAGATATCCTAAATAAAAATCTAGTCCCATATCCCTCTAAACCCCTTCCTATTCATGTACCCATCCAGATGCCTTTTAAATGTTGTATTTGTACCAGCCTCCACCACATCCTCTGGCAGCTCATTCCATACACTCACCACCCTCTTGTGAAAAAAAAAGCTTACCCCCCTTAGGTCCTCTTTAAATCTTTCCCCTCTCACCTTAAACCAATGCCCTCTGGTTTTGGGTTCCCCCACCCCAGGGAAAAGACGTTGGCTATTTACCCTATCCATGCCCCTCATGATTTTGTAAACCTCTACAAGGTCACCCCTCAGCCTCTTAACAGTCCAGGGAAGATAACCCCAGACTATTCAGCCTCTCCCTATAGCTCAAACCCTCCAACCCTGGCAACATCCTTGTAAATCTTTTCTGAACCCTTCCTAGTTTTACAACATCCTTCCTATAGCAGGGAGACCAGAATTGCGCACAATATTCAAAAAGTGGCCTAACCAATGTCCTGTACAGGCGCAACATGCCCTCCCAACTATACTCAGTGCACTGACTAATACAGGCAAGCATACCAAATGCCTTCTTCACTACCCTGTCTACCTGTGGCTCCACTTTCAAGGAACTATGAACCTGCACTCCACAGTCTCTGCTCAGCAACACTCCCTAGGATCTTACCACTAAGTGTACAAGTCCTGCCCCGATTTGCCTTTCCAGACCATAGCCATCTTGCTGTAATCCCGATTTACTTTCACCTCTTGTATTACGAGCATTGCTTTCAGTCATTGTGAAATCACACGAAACACTCGTAATTTTGCAATTGTAAGAGTTGTAAAAGAATAAAGGATTCAATTGAACAACTCGTCCCCACTTCTTACATTGTGAGTTACAGTTAATGACCAACATACAGCAACAGGAAAAAGGTCAACCCATCCAAACTGCTGGGATTTCATCAGAAAGCAGTGCGAGGAAATGCTGGACAAAATGATAAACTGACACCATTTCAAAGGGGTCTGGACAGAGACATACAACTCCAGCAGGTTTTATTTACTTCACTTACCTCAAGGTAAGGGTCACTGCTGCTACGCAGTTAAAAATACAACAGTTTCAAGTACCCAGGGGGCCATTTTAACCTTGCTTGTCTACTAGAAGTTGGATGAACAGCTTAATTTGCTTTGGTCTGGGTTGTGTGTGGGGAGAAGGCCTTAAACTACCATCTTCGATTTTATCAAGTAGGAGGAATGGGAAAACTAGGAGCAGGCCATTTGGCCCCTCAAGCCTGCTCTGCCATTTAATACTTTCGCAGCTGATCGCATCTTGGCTTCAACTCCACTTTCTTGTCCACTCCCAATAACCCTTCAACCATAGACAGATTTTTAATGAGCAATCTCCTCCTTAAATTTACACAGTGTCCCAGAATCCCTCACACCGAGGCAGCGAATTCCACACATTCGTGGCCCTTTGAGAGAAGTAATTTCTCCATCTGTTTTAAAATCTGCTATCCTTGATTATAGAACTATGAACTCATTATAAATTGCCCCACATGAGGAAACGTTCTGCGTTTACTTTGTCAACTCCCTTTAGCATCTTATCTATCTCAATTAGATCTCCTCTCCTTCTTCTAATTGCCAAACAGTATAGGCCCAAACTGCTCATAAGACCAATCTTTCATTTCAGGAATCAATCTAGTGAACGTCCTTTGACCTGCCTCCAATAAAAACACTCTCTCTTGCCTTGAGAAGTGATGTGTGTTAAATCCATTCACAGGGTCTAGTGAGGAAGTACAGAAATGAGACACTTCTCCTGATAACCTGTTTATCCACAGAATGTAGCATTAAGGCTGTCTGCTTCCTTTCCATAATTCCAGTGTCACAGTCGTATCTCCTTAGAAATGCTCAAAGTGCATAATCAAAGCAGATAAGCAATTGGCATGGAGCTTTTGGTGGTAAACTGATAGCATCTGTACCTTTGAGCCATGAGGCTCAGTTCAAACCCCACCAGTGCCCATGCACCTGAACATGTTGATTACAAATATCTATAAGAGATGGGCACAGATTAAATGAAGATAATTGATTGGGGGCAGGGGGAACCCTTAAAATTATGGGATATGGGTATTAGCTTGTTGGAGCCATTTCAGAGCACAGTTAAGAATTAATCATTTTGCCTTGGCTTACTTGTAGGCTAATCAAGCAAGGAAAGCAGATGGGGTTTTTATGACAAAATCAGAGGCAGAGGCAGTTGATTTGAAGCTCAATTTCAACTACAGATTCTTAAAAATTTACAAACCTCCAGATTCTGTGGTGGGATTTGAATTCTTATACCCATGGCATGAATGTAGTGCCTCGGAATTACTAGCCCATTGACATGGCCACTACGCTATGGTCTTTCCGTAACTATTCTAGTCTAGTGCATTCTAGTAGTTAGTGTTGAAGGATGGAACCATAAATAAGTCTCAATGGAACACTCTTACATTAGGTAACATTACATTACAACTTAGTAATCATATACACGTTACATTACACTGATGTTAACAGGAGCAAGAGACTGCATCCCACTGCCCAAGACTCCTGTAGACTCCCCAAAGCACCCAGTCCACTCAGTGGCCATCAGATCGGACTTTAGGTTAGCTAATCAATTAACCCTTTGATATCCATCATGTTACAGAACATTTATGGCTGCCAACAAAACACAATGAGTTCCTTTTGCAAAGATTAGCTTAATTAGGCTCAGAACTTCCAAATCGACTTACTGACAATCTCTGACATAATGCTAACAGATAACAAAAGGAGGAAATTCTGTCTGTGCTTGTAATTTTTCCATGCTTATTGCTGCACTGAGATGTCCTGCCTGCTTAAACCTCACCGTTGTACAACTGTAAATATTTCAAAACAATAAGATAAAATCATGCTTCATCTCATCCAAGTCTCATTAACTAATAAACTGGGCCAAAGTCAACCTTCCTTTTTTGTATTGGGGGAATAATTATAAAATCATCAAGAGTGCAAATCATTGTAATTTAGAAACAGACTATAAAACTGATGGTAATAAACAAACAAAAGTAAACCGAGAATGCCCAAGATAAGCAGCAATTTACTTCCAAGTGGATTTATGTCTGTAGTATTTTGGCTGGCCTCTAATCAGGAGTAAGTTCCCTCCTTATTGAGTAACATGGTCCAGTTAGAAACTGTAGACCAAGTGGAACATTGAACAGTACAGCAAAGGAATGGGTCCTTTGGCCCACAATGTTGGGCCGAACATGACGCCAAAAGAAACTAATCCCTTCTGCCTGCCCTTAGTCCATATCCCTCCATTCCTTGCATTGTCCAAAAGCATCTTAAACACTCCTATTGTATCTGCCTCCACCCTTGGCCCTGGCAGTATGTTCCAGCCTCTTACCACTCCCTGTGTAAACAACTTGCTCTTCACATCTCCTTTAAACTTTCCCCCTCTCACCTTAAATGCATGCCCCCTAATTTTAGATATGTTAACTCTGGGGAAAAAAAGATTCTGACCATCAACCCTATCTAACAACTCAATTTTAAAGACTTCTATCAAATCTACCCTTAGCCTCCACTGCTCCAAAGAAAACAACTCAAGTTTTTCTAGCCTCTCCTTATAGCTCATACCCTCTAATACAGGCAGCGTCCTGGTAAACCTCTTCTGCACCCTCTCCAAAGCCTCCACATCCTTCCTGTAATGTGGCAATCAGAACTGAACACAATACTCATAAGTGTGGCCTAACCAAAGTTTTATAAAGCTGCAACATGACATGCTGACTCTTGTACTCAATTCCCGACCAATAAAAGGCAAGGATGCCATGTCATCTTTACCATCCTATCCACTGGTGTGGCCACTTTCATGGAACTATGGATTTGAACCTCAAGGCCCTTCTGTACATCAGTGCTGTTCAGTGTCCTGCCATTAACTGTGTACTTTTCCTTATCAAGTACCTGGAGATGGAGCTGGCAGATAAAAATCGTACAGCACAGTCAAATGCAATAGTTTATCCAGGTACAATCTCACTGCCCTAATCACATTGCACCTAACAGTTAGAACAACTTATCTAAAGATTCATAACTTGACAACACCCTAAGAAGGGGGAACAAAAACCAAAATAAAAAAAACTTTAGAATCTGACCAAGAAGCTAAGGATTGTTTGGTTCCAATCCCTTTCCCCAACCAGAAGTCTGCTCGATTTTTCCACGGAGAGATTATCAGTGTGGCTGATTATCACTGACAGATTATTAGAATTATCAGCGGAAACTTCTGGTCAGAGCCAGACACCAGGTTGGCTCAGCCACTATTAACTGGCCACAACGTATTTTGTCGGCTGTGCTCACTGTGGACAGAACGAGGGCAGCTGGAAATCTCACCGTAAGTGATGAAACAATGTGCCCATGCTACTTACAGTCCACTAACATGGGGTCCATTCTCTCGCAAAAAGGAAAGGACACATATAACCGGGGCTTGAGAACAGTAAATGGCTGAGAGATCACCAACACAGAGTCTGTACCATGAGCGGGACACGCCGTGTTTAGGGACAGGGTAGTGAGCTGGCTAACACAGCCCTCTCCAAAAACTGGCTAAGACACATCATCGGAATTGACACGTTCATGCACTTTCCACAAGGAATTATAACATACAGCCACAGTGTGTATGTTATTAATGTGGATTAATACAGGAGAGAGAGAAGAGGCGAGAGGAATGACGAAGCAAGGAGTGTGTTATGAATTGGTGCCGAAGGTAAAAGCGGCGTTTGCGCTTCAAACTCTTGCTCCGCCCTCCTGACATGAACAATGCAATAGTCAAACTCTTACTTTCCCCATCCAAGGCAAAAGATACAGCAATCACGGAGAATTGTTTAAAACTAAAACGCGATAAAAATTCAACTGTAAACCAGTGACCAGGCACAACACAAGATAGCATGCTGAAACCTTCATACCCAGCCCTGAATTGGGGGTGGGGAATGCATAATCCTACACTGGGTGCAGACGAGGCTGTCTCAGATTCTTAAGGCTATCATTAGAGTCAGTATTTCTCTGACTGGTTTTCACAGCTTATCCTTTTACCGGGGGCTCGCAGGTTGGATGGGGGAGCGGGAATACTGGCAACTGTTGGTTGGCACAGTTTCAAATTCGAAGCATGATATTTCGGTACAGGACCGCTACCCTATAAAGTGCCCATCTCTACCTAGACAGAATGGTCAGTAATGCCAGCACCAGTTGTGCCAGGCAGGGAAGGGTACCACTACAACCTTAGCAGGCACCTGTAAAAGAAGAAAGCTCCCAGCGGGGGCGTCTCACCTATCATGACCTCTCTTGGCAAATATTTGGAAATGATCTTCATGTCACTGAGTGGAGTAATGACGCCAGCAGCGTTCCCCAGCATACTGCCAATGCCCAACATCAGGACCATCAGAAAATACAATATCGACCAGATCTGGGATGGCCCAGGCATGTTCACAATTGCTTCGGTGAAGACTATAAATGAGAGCCCGGTGCCTTCCGCAGCCTACAAAACAAAAAAAAGGAGATAAACTCTAAGTAAACACAGAAAAGATAGGAAGGAGTCACAGCATTACAGAATCACAGAACAGTAGAGCACTGGGGTTGTGCTAACTCCTGGTACAGCCTTAGTTTTGCTTGCTTTCCCCTACATTGTTGGAATTTCTCTGTTTCCAAGTACAGTTCCAACTGTCTGCTGTCTTTTCTCAAACATACAAAGGGTTGGCCACTCGGCCCATTGAGCCAGCTCCACCATTCAGTAAGAAAACGGCCGATTATCCCTTCCTCATTTGAGGCTGGGCAGGGGGTGGAATATGGTCTCCCAACGGATTGGATCCTGCTTCTGGGTAAAGTGCTACAAATGGCCTCTGTAGGATGGCTGACCAGGAGATTTCCCTACACTTACCGCTTGCCAGCAAGGTATTGGGCCAATTTACAGGCTAACAAAAATCGAGCTGTGTTACCACATTACAAAAACACCTTCCAAAGCCAACACATCCAACAAACAGGGAGTGTCTGGCCCAGAGATTGGGATGTTAGCCACTGCACCTCAATAAATTGGAGAGGATAACAGTTGTGACAACTATAGAGTCCATTAAATGGACAATGTGACAATGTCCCCATGTCCCCTTATACTTCATTGTAATCTAACTCTTCCTGAAAACAGGAACACGGGGCCCAAATGCTTAGTCTTGCAGAACTAATGCGAGAATGCCAAATTTCAAACAATCACGATGGACTAAAAGTAGTGGGTGCGTAGGGGAGGAAGTGAGCCAACTGGTGGGGAAGTCAGCTCTGATCTAACCTGCCAAGCGCAAGTTTCTTTCCAGTATAAAAGGGAATCACACTCTCTTAAAAAAAAGCTATTCACCGTGTCCAAGTGAGACTGTAGGTCACATGTTTCGATCTGTGAAGCAATTGTTGCAAATTTGCTCGGCTGTGTTGAATTCAGGAACATCACCCACTCTGAAAGAGTGTCTGTTTGTATTGCAGTCTCATCCAGGTCAAAAGTGTTTGTTAGAAGTAACACCATTCTGCAGTTAGACAGAAACTGCTTGTTAGTCTCCACAGGAAACAATCCAAGTGACTTCACAAGATTAGAATAGTGAACCAATAACTCAAAACTGTGAGTAAACATTAACTCCAAGTTAAAGACAAGACAAAGGTAAAGCCCTCATATAAAATTGTTCTCTTGGTTAGACTGTACAGTTTCAAAAACACTAATTGTTTTTCTAAAACAATTTTAACCAACATATTTAAAATGGAAAGGGTTTACACAGTCAACTCATGCATCAGAATGAATTTGTTCTAAAGTCCTTCATGTTGACATATCGTTCTTGAACGAACTGAATAGAATTTGCAGTGCAGGCTATTCGACACCCACACCCCCTCCAACCCCCAGGTCTGCTTCAAAGAACCACCTCATTCTTCTGGTATTTAATCTGATCAATATATCTCTATTTCTTTCACCTTGAACTGTAGAACGACCGGTATTACATCAGATTTAAAATCGGGAATGATCTGCCATTTGGGGCGTCAGGCACAAGTAGTTCAAGACCCTTGGAAGGATTTTGGGATTGGTGCCATTTTCTCTGAATAACACCACTCACCAACTGAATGGAATCAAGTTACATCCATCCAACTCAGTGCATTTTTGGTCATCATTGAAGAACTTCTCTCAGGGGCTCAAGTCTAACAAAGGAGCTTAACTTTGGGTTTTGGCCAAGAGTAGAGGAAACTAGGAGACCGTTGCCACAGCGACATTTCAATTGGTTATGAAGGCTGTTGGTACTAATGACGTAGAGCACATTTCACCTTGGACCTCACTCGCAGAGTAAGGTGGAGGCAACGGCCGTTTGGAGGAGTTGGGGAGGGATAAATATCGGATTATTTTGTTAAATATCTGTGGGACATGGCCTCAGTTGTGTTCCACTACCCAATCCTAGTTGCTGTGGAGGGTATCAGGAGGCAGCCATGGAGGGAGAGGTCTCCAGGTGGTATATATGTTCTTTCAGCCAAGGGACAGGAACTGGCCTTTTCCAGTGCCAGTCCAGAGGTGGTCAGATTGAATGACTGCCACTGGGCTCTGGTCGGATAAGAACCCAGCTTCCCTTTCATTATGCTTTTCTCCCACCCATTCACAGAATGGGGACTGTTGCTTACCAGCTCAAGCACCATTGCCCATCTCAAAATGCCCTGGGAGAAGGTGGCAGAGAGCCACCTTCTTGATCCACTGAAGTCCTTGGGTTGTGGAAACACCCGCAGTGCTGCGAGGGAGTTCCAGGATTTTGACCCCAGCAACAGGCTGGGAATAGCGAGGAAGATGCCCCAGAGTGAGTGCATATTGTAGATGGCACACACTGCTGCCCCAAAGCTGCTGGAATTGGGCACTAAACCAAAAGAAAATTTAGCTGCTTAATCTTCCACCTCTTTCCTGTTACTTTGCTCAACGTGTTATGTACACCACGAGATGATATTGAATAGCACTGTCATTAAGCACAAGGTGTAAGTACATAACGCTCCACCAAGATGTGCATAATTTCGGACAGGGTCACAGAATGCATTCAAACTTATCCAACTTCACACCAGTAAATCGGATACATAGCACCAAAACAGGCCTTTCAGCCCAACCAGTCCATACTAGTGTTTCTGTTCCACTCGAAACTCCTCCCACCTTCTCTAAAGCTACCACTGCAATCCCTTTGTCCTTGTTTCTGCATCTTAAAACATAATTGATATACTTGCTTTAACTGTTCCACTTCCTGACTATCCTTTAGGTGCAGAGTGAATTTCCTGCTGGATATCTTGGTGGCTGACTTGTATTCATGGCCTCTAGATCTGCTCTTCCACCCTGGAGGAAACATTCTCTCTGTATCTGCTCGAACTAAACATTTCAGGATTTTAAGAGACCTGTTCGGTCACCCCCTGGGCCTCCTTTCATTTCAAGACAAAGAGACCCAGCCTAACATCCTGGGGTAACACACGTCTGGCATCCTCCTGGCCAATCTTCCCTGCTCCCACCCTTTCCAGTGTCCTTGTAACTTTTTTATATAATAAGATGACCAGAACTGCTCTATTAAAGTGGGTTCTAACCAAGGTTCAGCATAACTTGCTTAATTCTCAATTCTACTCCTCCAGCTCCAAAACCTCGTTCGAGCTTCCAAGTGGTCTTGCTAACTTGTGGAGCAACCTTTAATAATTGATGTAATTGTACCACACAGACTGGCACCTTCCAAGACCTTTAGGGACTCGCTTTTTTCCTCCTACTGGGATGCATCTAATTGGCACCGAGCTTCATTTGCCAAATCTTTTACCCATTCTGCAAATATAATAATGTCCTTCTGTAATTTGCACTCAGTATCATCAACTAAATTGCTCCTTCATACTTTTGATGCTTTTTGCAAATTTAGAAACCGCATTCAATTCAATGAAAATCCAGATAGTCTGTATTTACTGTCTCCGCTTCCTCAGAAATTTCAAAAGACCGAACCAGAGTCAGATTTTCCCTTTCAAAATCCATGTCGCCTATTCATCATTGTATTTCTCATTCCCAGCTCACAATTAAATTGTTGCCAGTCTCCTTCTAACCAGCCAATTCCTACTCATAAGCTTCACAATTATTTTTAAACGCACGTCTGCAGAATTTCAATGTCCATTTAATTGTCCGAGACACCCTTCAAGACGAAAGCAGTTTATTTTGCAAATAAGCAAACAGAAAGGCACTGAGCAAGATCATCAATTTGTGACCTTATCCCGGAACATCTCTGGACAACATAAATCTCTCAGGCTCCGTTTTCAAATTAAAAAGGTTATTGGAGCATCAATTGCCATTTGTGGAGTTCTATTTAGACTTATAAAAACTCTACCTCTGGGTAGAGGCACTACCAATGCAGCACAAGAGATCTTTATTCCAGATATTTACCATTAAATTTTTCTGCCACCCTTTGCAATATTTCATTAAATCTTTAATAGAAGATCTTACTTTTTTTTTGACTATGGCCCCCTAAGCCTAGACTTTCCAACATGTAGAAAAAAGGTTGCTCCCAGTCTACCCTTATTGGTGTCCCTTTGTATCTTGAGATCTTTGATCGAATTACCCCTCCTCCAACTTTCTAAATTCCAGCTGGGATTTAGAAATCTTTTCTTGCAGCTTAATCCCTGGATATCAACAATCAACAATGCCTTAATACGATCACATTGAAAGAGTGCCTTCAAATTTATCTTTTTGTTCTTGGGACTTGAATGAGATGGCACTTATTCCTGGTCTTTAGGTGCTCTCAGAAAGTAGGTGTCCCCCAAGCCCCTTTGAACAATCACAGTTCCTGTAATTGGTTGTTATGTCCAGTGGCATGGCGCCAGCTGTTTTGAAGGAATAATGGTGGGGTGGGGTGGTGACCAGGTCAGGATGGTATGTGACTTTGGGGGTTAATGGCGTTAGCGTGAAGGGTTGTGCCTGTGGGACACAAAACAGAAATCAGAGACTCGCACGCCCTTAGGCTACACAAAAGGACCTGCTCAGAAAATTTACATTGCTCCTCAACATAACACTGCCGCCCCCCCCCCCCCCCCCCACAATGGGTAGAAAACAGCAAAGCAACGTCAGGAAGACTGCCCCTGTGCAAGGTGTCAATGGGTTAGAAATATCAGGTACGCCAGCATCAGCAGTGTCCTCTTGCCCCAACCTACTATCCAGGAGAGTGCCAGTGTGCCAATGGCATATGGTGCCCCTCAAGTAGGCAAAAGGTGGTGCCCCCTGGCAGCTACTGACCAGAATGGAGTGGACACTGGATTGTGGAGGAGTCGGGGTTGGGGGGGTGGGGGAGTGGGGTGGTCACTGTCCTGCTGACCAGACAGCAATGGCGTTGACAGTCTGGGAATGTGACACCACCCATCAGAGTGTAGAGTTCTCATCTACCCAGGGCCATTGGCTCCCAAAAGACCACCACTACTAGGAAATTATTTTTTATTAATTAAATAATGCAAGCGCTGCTTAGAACTGGTCTCGCTGTTGTGTTGCTGTTCCCTGGGACACCATAATAAAATATATAGTGCCTTTAGCATCTTGCCAAACCACAGCAGCATCAACAATTGATTTTCTTTTTAAGAGAAAAAAAAAATCAATCAATCATTCATAGGGTGTTGGCCTCATTGTCTGGGTCAGGATTTATCACCCACTGAACTAGCTGGCTTGCTAGGGCCATTTCAGAGGGCAGTCAAGAGTCAACCACATTGCTGTGGGTGTGCAGTCACATGGAAGCCAGACCAGGTAAGGATGGCAGATATTCCTCTCTTTAAAAATAAAAGGACATCAGTGAACCAATGGGTTTTTACAATAATCGACAACAGCTACATGGTGGTCATGAGGCTAGCTTTCAACTCCAGAATTTTACTGCATTTAAATTTCACCATCTGATATCGTGCGGGATTTGAAGCTCTGTACCCAGTTGTCGATTGCTAGTTCGGAGACATTACCACAATACCACTGCCTCCCATTGATAGTGAAGGAAGTTTCAGATGTTATTTGTACCTTGCCTGTATCAAGATACTTGCTGTTATTTATTCAGATTGTTACTTATACATTTGTTCACATGTTCAGTCACTTGTGCAAACAGCGGTGTATCATAATTAGTTATATCTTGGCAGTACATCATTTATGGACCTCTGTATATTGGTCTACTCAAAAAGTACCCCCAATACCAGCAACAAGCTATCCAACGGAGAAACCAAAGCAGTGGGTAGTCACAACTCCAGGACAGCTGCTGGGTTTTCCTTGCCGAACTCCTGTTGAGCTGTCAAATGACAAAAGCCAAGGGATTAGCTCGGAGGGGATGAGTCAGGGCAATGGGAAGGTGAGTCAACCTGGCCTCTAGGCTGACATGGATACAGGACATTGGAACACAGAAGACACAGATGACCAATCAGCCCCTTAGGCACACCATTCAATGAGATCAAAGCCAATCCACAATATCCCACTGACCTCAGTAGATCTTGTTTAAACAAAATCTATTTATACCACTGTTTTAAAATTAATTGCTGATCTAGAATCAGTTCCGATTTGTGGGACAGTTCCAAACTTCTACCTCACTTTGCATTTCCTAATTTCACTTCTGAAGGGTTTGATTCTAAATATTAGACCACACTCTGCACTCGAGTGAACATCATTTCTATTGATCTTTTCTGTCCTGCTCAACGACTTGAGAAAACAAACTTTGACCACATCACTCTCTATCTAACTTTCTAAATTCAAGGAAATACAACTCCCATGGAGGTAAATCGCTCTTTGTAAATCTAACTCCTGGAATCTAGGGATCACTCTGATAAATCTACCTGGCACACTTTCTCCAAGGCTGATACAGCCTTCCTGAAGCGTGACACCCAGAACAGAATGCACAGCTCCAGGGATTGGTCTAACCAGGGTCTTGCATAGCCGGGGACACAACGGTTTTCAAACTCCCTCTATTTCAATCCTCTGGATTGAAAGTTCGGCGTCCCATTAATCTTTCAGATTATTTTCTATACTTGTTCTCGCTATTAGAATAACCAATTCCTGGCCTCCCCTCCTGCCGCCATCCCAGTGTCTTTGGGCCTTCACCTTTAAAAGAAACTACCCACTCTTTAAAAACTTTCTCAATCCAAGGTTTGACTACAATCCAGAACCATTTGCCACGGTTTCGTATGCACTCCTGGTTGGGTGTGAGAGGTTAAATATTGCTGCTACTTACACTGGCTTAAACGTTTTTTTTTGAGATTCACTCTGGTACAGTGAGGAAGACTAGATCGGTGAGGCAGTATGAAAAAGTGAAGAGTAAAGTGAACGAGAGACAGCACAAGAGAAGAGCAAAAAAAAAATAGAACCAAGAGCAGGAAAAAAAAGGGAGAAAGAAAGGAAAAGGAAGGAAGGGAGAGAGAGTGAACGTGCGAGATTCTCCCTATAAGATACTCTTACCTTTCAAGACAGCTTTCATAATTATATGTAGCTTTGAAACCATATATGGCAAAAGTGACAACGCTGGCAAACACGGATGTCAGACTGTTAATTAAAGCAATGATAACTGCTTGTTTCTCACAGTTGTTGTTTTTCTGGTTGTAACTGGCAAACGCGATCAGACTCCCAAAGCCCAGGCCGAGCGAGAAGAAGATCTGGGTGGCTGCGTCAATCCAAGATTTCGGGTCCATCAGCTGCTCCACCTGGGAGGGGTGCGGAGGGCAGAAGGTGCGGGTGTCAGTTGCAGCGCAAACACACAAACACAAGAGAGGGAATTCGACATGACCGGCAAAAAAAAGAAAAGAAGAGGGGGGAACCATGCTGGCCCAGATAACGTTCCGGGGTACCCGGTTCGAGTCCCACCACGGCAGGTGGTGGAATTTGAATTCAATAAGTATTATCTGGAATTAAAGGGTCTAATGACGGCCGTGAATCCACTGTCGGTTGTTAAAACTGCTGTGGGTCTGGAGTCACACATAGGCCAGACCAGGTAAGGATGGCAATGTGGTCGACTCTTAACTGCCCTCTGAGCAAATTAGGAATGGGCTATAAATGCTGGCCTGGCCAGCGATGCCCACATCCTAATGATTGAATAAAGAGAAAAAAAAAAGTCCAGGCACTCGATAAAGGGAATGAGACAAAAGGAACAAACATGCAGTGTTGTTGGGAGGAGACCATAGAGTGGCACAATGACATTCATAGATGGGCTGAATGGCCTCTTCAGCACTGTAACCATTTTGTGGTTCCTGTGATATTTAGAAGCTGCAGGAACTGATCAAAGGATTCATTTCAGGAGCCTAGAAAGCCCTTGCGATTTCTCTACTAAACTGTGAGCGTTTAGTGTTTTTTCAGGCACATTCAGTTTTGATAACAGCCTTTGCAATTCTGTAATTTTCCTGCGTATTCTTTTAGCTTCACATTTTGTTCGGAGGGTGGTTTTGACAGGCTTTTGAAGGAGAGGTGACCACTTGGCCTCTCAATCCCGGCCAAGACTGCATTCCTAAATTCCCAACAGCTTGACAACACGACAGCTTGGCTTGAGGTGCAGCTTTCCGTTCTGCTCTTACAAAGAACTAGATTTTATTTTTCGCTGCTCCTCAATCCCAACAAGCTCTTTACATTTTTGGATTAGTTCGGGCCCCGAGCCCAGAATACTACCATCCTCACGGTAAGCTGCGGAAATATTAGCCCAAAATTCCAATCGATTAAACACAGGTCCTGCATTCTACTGCCTGCGAGCTGGACTGGAAAATGCCATTTGATTTGGAAAGAGACAACGTTGCTTGCATTCATCAGGATTGAGTGCAAGAATGCCAAAACGCAAACATTCACAACAGTTTATATTACAGGAAGAAAACAAAAGGGGGCTGATTAGTTGGCAAGTCAGACAGCATCAATGGATGGGAAATGTCCTCAAAGCGCCTTAATTAGAATGGAAGAGTAGAACGGTGAAATATTTGTTAAAGACTGCTTCGAATCTTTGTCTGTATAGTGTCTGCTACAGTCAATCGTGCTAAGTGGGATTCTTCAAAAACCATTAGATCCAGCGATCCCAGGTCAGGATCTCTGCTTGTTTTAAGAGTATAGGGTGGACGCTGGTCTCCATAAATGCCACCGAGAATTGAAAGATGTCATTTAAAATGTTTCAACCACACTCTGAAGCTGTTGCTATATTTAAAGTCAAGAACAGGAAAACATGCAAACATAGGAATCAGGAACTGTAGTAAACCCAACTGGATCTCTTCAGCCCAGCCCACCACTCATGGTTGTGACCTCCACTCTACTTTCCTGCTCACCGCTCCATTACCCCCAAAGACTCAAGCCTCTGCCTTCAAAACATTCAACGGCCCAGTCTCTACTCTCTCTAGGGAAGAGAGTCCCACAGACTCTCATTTGTGGAACCAGAAAGGAACAACGACCGTGTCCTAATCCTAAATCAGAAAAAATATATTGTCCTTTATCACTCCTGCTTTACACACTGTCTCAGCTGGTAGTGCTCTCACCTCAGTATCAGAAGGTTGTGGGTGCAAGTCCCACTCTGGGACTCAGGCACAAAAATCATGGTTGACACTCCATTGTTGTACTGAGAGAGCAGTCCACTGCCTGAGATATCACCTTTCCAGGTGGAATATCAAACAGAGACCTTGTCCAGCCTCTCAGCTGGATATTTTAAGAGATGAGAAACCTCTCTTGCTATTTTGGAGAGCAAGGTGATTGCAACTCTGGTGTCTTGGTCACTACTTATCCCTCAGACAACAAATTCACATCAAACAGATTATCTGGTCATTATCACATCCCAGTCTGTGGGAACTTGCTGCATGTACATTAGTGCCACATTTCCTGCAGTACCAACAGCACCTGCACAAAGAAGTATTTCATTGAGCATGAAATAGATTGGAGTATCCTGGGGTGGTGAAAGGTGCTATATAAATGCACATCTTTATTTTTAAATTGTAGAATAATGCTAATAGTGCCTAGATCATACAGAACTGGAGTTTTGCAGAAGAGAAAGAGGAACATGTTACTAAAGGAATTTTTATCTTTCATCCACCAGGAGAAAACATCAGCGTGCCTAATTTAAGAGACACGCCTCTCGTTTTTGCAATAATTCTAAAGTTCATTTGATTGAAGGCAGATCGAAGAGTAAGAATTCAAACAACAGAATATTAACTTTGATAGTAAAACTCACTTTGAGTTACACTGAAGTTATGTGATACAATACCTTTGGACTGAACATATAAACGAGCCCATTTCCTGCTCCGTGTAGAGTTACTCCTCGAATGAGAAAAATCACCAACACAACATATGGAAAGCCAGCTGTGACATAGACCACCTATAGCCAAAAAGAGAGGAGGAGACGGTTCAAACCGGTTTTACAGTAATCACATTTACCTTAAAAAAAAAATTCTGTTCAGTCTTATGGCTTTCCAAATGGTTAAATCATTGTGATGGTACATTTCCCATTACAACAGTCCTGCTGGGTTGGGGGTGAGGGGTCTCTGTTCAGGCACTGCTGGCGAAGGAAGTAAAAGAGACACTGGCTTTCAGACCTCCCTGGAGTATTGCCCCATATTGGGGCAAGTGGGATCTCTGCTCAACGCATTGATGGGATGGGAGCACCGTAGGCTGGGCCAACATTCGCCGCCTGTCCCTTAGTGCCCTTAAAACGGAAGTGCTGAGTGGCATCTTGAAGTGCCGCAGTCTCTGTGGTTACAAATCCCCACAACACGCTGCCAAGGAGGAAGCTCCAGGATTCTAACCCAGCAGCAGGGAAGGAATGGCAGCGCGTTTCCATGCCAGAATGGTAAGTGGCTTGGAGAGGAACTTGTCCATGTTTGAACCAAGGCTGTAATGAGGTCAGGAGCTGAGTGGCCCTGGCGGAACCCAAACTGGGCATCACTGAGCAGGTTATTTCTGAGCGGGTGCTGCTTGATAGCACTGTTAGTGACACCTTCCATCACTTTACTGATGAGCGAGAGTAGACTGATGGGGCAGTAATTGGCCGGGTTGGATTTGTCCTGCTTTTTATGTACAGGACATACTTGGGCAATTTTCCACATTGTCGAGTAGATACCAGTGTTGTAACTGTACTGGACCAGCTTGGCTAAGGGAGTGGCAAGTTCTGGAGCACAAGTCTTCAGTACTGTTGCCGGAATGTTGTCAGGGCCCATAGCCTTTGCAGCATCCAGTGTCTCCAACCGTTTCTTGATATCACGTGGAGTGAATCAAATTGGCTGAAGACTGGTATCTGTAATGCTGGGGACGACTGGACGAGGCCAAGATGGATCATCCACTCGGCATTTCTGGCTGAAGATTGCTGCGAATGCTTCAGCCTTATCTTTTGCTCTGACGTGCTGGGCTCTTCCATCATTGAGGATGGGGATATTTGTGGAGCCTCCTCCTCCAGTGGGTTGTTTAATTGCCCACCTCCATTCATGACTGGATGTGGCAGGACTGCAGAGCTTAGATCTAATCCGTGGGTTGTGGGATTGCTTAGCTCTGTCTATCACTTGCCGCTTTCGCTGTTTGGCGTGCAAGTAGTCCTGTTTGGTGGCTTCACCAGGTTGATACCTCATCTTCAGGTATGCCTGGTGCTGCTCCTGGCATGCCCTCCTGCACTCTCCATTGAACCAGGGTTGATCCCTGGTTTGATGGTAATGGTTGAGTGGGGGATATACTAGGCCATGAGGTTACAGATTGTGCTGGAGTACAATTCTGCTGCTGTTGATGACCCACAGCGCCAGTGATGGGTCTATTTGCAAATAGACCGGGGCCTGGGTGAAGTGGTTTGGAGAACAGGGTAGGGTCGAGGGTAGGACTCCCTGACACTCCAAGGACTGACAGGCAATCTCCAGGAATCAAAGTTCAAACCTGCCGACTCTGTGCTGAGCAAAACCCGGGAGTGAAAGAAGATTCTGAGCACAACGTTCATTCTCTTTCAATGCTTGGCAACATATAACAAAATGATAAGACATAACCCAAACTTGCTCACGATTGGGACACACCTCACTTGACCAATGAAAAGAGCACAGGGATAAGACTGATCCCTTTACCCTCGCCCTCGCTCAAACAAGTTCTTCCTCACATCTCACTGGCATCACTGCCCGAGACATGCAAGTTTAAAAAAAAAGAAAAAATATAATAAGTTGCTGTCCCCTGGTCCTTGTACAATCAGGTGACGGGAACAGCTTTGCTTTGGAATTCCTCTACAAACCAGTTGTAAATTCTGTCTGTCTCCAACAGATCTTCCTCATGCCAAGCAGAATGAGCCCGATTTAGCTTGACCCCAGATCTCTCCGAACCATCCTGGGAATTCTCTGCTGCACCCTCTCTAGGAATACCCCCACCCCCCACTTTAAAACGCTCCCCACCTCCCAGGCAGTAACATACCAACCCAAAGTAGCTTGGCTCAGAGATCAGGCACTGAAGAGTTAATTTCCTCCAGTACAGGGCAGATTCCGAAAAAAGGAAAGTTGTTTGTGCTGATCTTCCTCAAAGTCTACGCCTCCGAAACCACTTCCAAAGAAAACAACCTCGCGGACTCTGGCTTTTTTGTTTGGAATGTGCCCACGTACAGGTGAAGCTAATGGAGCGAATTCTGCTAGCTGTCAAGTTCAGGGGCACTGGAGTAAAAAGACTGAGTGCTCAAATTATCAAAACGTTAGCTTCTTGCTAATGGCAAAGGAACACCCGGGGAGGGAGAGAGCGAGAGCGCGAGAGAGCAATGAACAGCACAGGAGGTAGCCATTCAGCCCTTCCCAGGGTAACTAGGGATAGGTCTTTTTTTTTTTTGGAAAAAGCACAGCAGACGTACAGACTTCTAAAGTCTGTGCAACTTAACAACAGCGACGGTACCTTGCCAGTAGATTCAGTTCCTCTAATGATACACAGGTAAACTATAAGCCAGGAGAGGATCAAACACAGCATCAGCCCCCAGTGCAATGTCCCTGTGTCATCGATTGTGGGAGAGACATTTAATGTCTTTCTGTACCAGAAGAATTCAGTGGGTGAACTTTTTGCACATTCTTCCACAATTGCAGTGTTGTTTGCATTTAATGGACAGTGTGCCCAGGGCAGAGGGTTCTGTTTAACAGAGAAACAAACAGCAAATTATTAAATGGTGATAAAACCTACAGACATCAATTTAAAACAAAACTCCCCTGTGCAAACCCCCTTGAATCGTTATAAGCTTTAAACAATAAATAGCAAAAGCACAAAGCAATATTTCTTCATTACTATGAAAGTACAGAATATCTATCCAACACATGGATGCTGCGTGAGCTACAGTTGTGTTATTGTACAGTGCATTTCAGACTTTGCCCTTACTGAAATGTACAAGACCCCGGGAGGACTTGGCAGGGTGGATGCTGAATGGATGTTCTCCCCTAGTGAGAGATGGGAAGTAGGGGAAATTTAAAAATAAGTGGTATGAGACAGAGGTGAAGAGAAATTCTCTCTCTGAAGGTCTTGAGCCTTTGGACCTAGACAGCAATGAATACTTCTAAGGCAGGGACAGATAGCACCTTGACCAATAAGGGAGTCAAAAGGTAATCCGAGATAAGCGAGGAACTGGTGTTGAGGCCAGAGTTAGACCACAGCCATGGTCTTATTGAATGATGGAACAAGCTGAAGAGGCCAAGTGGAATGTGGCTGTGGGAAAGCACAGTTGGAATTGGTGGCCTGGAAAGGACATGAACAAACCTGCTGGGCTTCTGTAAACAATCAACGATAGGATCATCATCACCATTATGAGCTTTCATTTCCAGATTTCTTTAATTGAACTTAAACTAGCTCTGGTGTGATTTGAAACCATGTTCCTGGGACATTAGCTTTGGGCTCTGATTACCAGCTCAGTGACATGGGCACCATGACCCCAAGATCCTGTCTGCACCCCTCGCCAGTGTCTTCAGATCCTTTTTAAAAAAAAAGTGGAAACTCTGCCACGAGTCACAAAGCCTTTTACAGAGAAAGGAGCAAATTACTGCAGAATCTGTACTGAAAACAACAAAATGCTGGAGATCAGAGTGGGTCAGACAGCATGCTAATGTTTCGAGACTAGATGACTCTTCAGAGCTACTGAAGCTCAGCTCTGAAGAAGAGTCATCTAGTCTCGAAACGTTAGCTTGCTCTCTCTCTATGGATGCTGTCTGAACCACTCTGATCGTCAGCATTTTGCTATTTTCTTTACAGAGAAAGCAAGACTTTTGCCCATTGTGTGGCATGGGCACAGGAAGGTAAAAGCAGAGACAGAGATATTAAACTTCATTAATCTCAGGAAGAATATAATGGATCGATTCTCGGTCATACCTACCTCAAACGAATGGAACAGATACCAAAGACTCCAGGACACAATTGCATTGTAGTAGACGCAAACCAGAAATGATATCACGAGACTTCCTACACCTGTTGTTATCACAGCAGGGTGCAAAAAAAAAGTTGTAACTCAACATAGTCAGTGGGACAGGATTAAAGTACAAGACAGAAAAGGGCATAAAATGTGCAGTTACATACCAACACCAACTAAATATGGATTGACTGCTTTCCAAGCTCCAATGCTTCCCTGCCTCATCAATTGGCCCAAGGTCAGCTCCAGGTAAAACAAAGGCAGTCCTTCCACAACTAACATTATCACGTAGGGAATCAAAAATCCACCTGAAAAATTAAAAAAAAAAAACAACGAAATAAATACAATCAAATTAGGGTCATTTATCAACATTTGGTCCACATGTCTTCCACCAGACATTCGTTGTATGTTAATTGTATTTGGTACCTTGAGCCTCTGAGTGGGGACAGACAATTGGCAGTTGTTGGGTTAGGAGGCGCACACTCAAAATGCAATTCTGCAAAGAAATGCTTAGGAAAAGGAGCAAAACATTCACTCCCATGCTTGAATATTCTTCCGCCATTTTCCCTTCCAAAAGGTTTTTCTCCATCAACAATAACTTTGGATTTGCATGGTCCCTTGTAGGTCAGAAGACATCAGCACCCTTGTAAGGCAACTTTTTGTTATCAAAATATCACACCGAGCCGTACAGGAGAGAATAAATACACATACTCAAACCCTACCTCTTTGGCAAAACCTCTAAGGAGCATTTTAAAAGCAAAAAAAAAAAAAAAAAAAAAAAAAAAGAAAAAAAGAGAGAGAGAGCGAGAAGAGAGAACTATTTATTTTAATTAATTTAATTATATCTCAAGGCCTGAAATGGAGCAAAACAGATGGTTATGGGGCAGGAAGGAGTTACAGACAGACAGTGGAGAAACGAGGACATGGAGGAATCAGAAAACAACAAAAAAAAAAGGATGAAAACGTGAAAAGTTGAGACACTCTCAGACTGGGAGTTACTGTGGGCCTGAGAGCACGGAGGTGATGACTGACCAGGATGAGATAGAATCTGGGGTAGAGATTTGGATGGAGTTGGAGGATATGAAGGTTACGTTGCACTAGTGCATGTGCTCCCTGTTGAGAGAGGGATTGGAAACCAGCTCCCAGTTTTTCCCTCAGATGAGAAGCTGAAAAAGCACAGCGGGTCAGACAGCATACGAGGAGCGGGAAAGTCAACGTTTCGGGCTGAAACCCTTCGTCAGGACTGGGGATGGGGAGAGGAGCCCAGAAGTAAATACAGTGAGAAGGGTAGGTGGGATGGTGATAAGTGGATGCAGCTAGGGAGTTATTGTGGTTGGTCAGTGGGAGCGAACAGATGAAAAGGTTAGGTCAGGTCAGGGAGGTGAGGAGGAGGGCTGGACATGGGATAAGGCTTGGGGTAGAGAGATTTTGAAGCTGGTGGTCAATATTGAGGCCAATGGGCTGTAAGTTCCCAAGGAAAAAATATCAGGTATTGTTCCTCCAGTTTACGTTTGGCCTCACTCTGATAGTGGAGGAGGCCAAGGATGGACATGTCATCAGGGGAGTGGCAGGGGGAATTAAAATGGATGGCAACCGGAACATCTGAGTGCTGTATGCATCAACCAGCCCGATGCTCTGAGAAACGGTCCCCAAGTCTGTGTTTGGTCTCCCTCATAAAGAGGAGACCACATCAGGAGCAATGGCTACAACAGTTGCCATCTATTTTAATTCCCCCTGCCGCTCCCCTGACGACATGTCCATCCTTGGCCTCCTCCACTGTCACAGCGAGGCCAAATGTAAACTGGAGGAACAACACCTGATATTTTGCCTTTGGAGCTTACAGCCCATTGGCCTCAATATTGACCACCAGCTTCAAAATCTCTCCACCCCCAGCCTTATCCCATGTCCAGCCCTCCCCCCTCACCTCCCTGACATATCCATAATCCTACTCACCTATTTGCTCCACCCCTCCCAATGACCAATCACAATAACTCCCTACCTGCACCCACGCATCACTGTCCCATCTACCCCTCTCCCAGCCCCACTCCCTCACTCTATATCCAGGGATGGCGGGTCTGACATATATGAGGAGAGATTGACTAGGTTGGGACTGTTTTCACGAGAGTTCAGATGAACGAGGGGTGATCTCAGAGTCATATAAAACTCTAACAGGACTGGACAGGGTAGATGCAGGAAGAACGTTTCTGATGGTGGGTGTGTCCAGAACCAGGGGTCACAGTATGAGGATTCGGGGTAGACGATTTAGGACGGAGATGAGGAGACATTTCTTCACCCGAAGAGCAGTGAGCCTGTGGAATTCATTACCTCGGGAAGTAGTTGATGCCAAAAATTGAATGTATTCAAGAGGCAACAAGATATAGCACTTGGGACAAATGGGATCGAAGGTTATGGTGAGAAAGCAGGATCAGGCTATTGAGTTGGATGATCAGCCATGATTGTGAAGAATGGCAGAGCAAGCTCGAAGGGCCAAATGGCCTCCTCCTGCTCCTATCTATGTTTTGTATGTTTCTGGGCTTCCCTCCCCCCGTCCCTGTCCTGACAAAGGGTTTCGGCCCAAAACATTGACTTCCCTGCTCCTTGGATGTTATCTGACCTGCTGTGTTTTTCCAGCCTCACATCAATTGACTTGGTCTTCCAGCACCTGCTATCCTTACTATCTCCAAGTCCCAGTATTTCCCCACTGCTGTTGTGCTGGTGGCTCTTGAGAACAGTTGGGGAAACTCATCCTGGTGATAGCCTGCTCCAGAGAATAGAGAATGCTCAACACTCTGTACAATGACAGGGTAGCAATCAAACAAAAAATCCCAAATGAAGCATACCCTAGCATTCCCCTCTACAGCATAAACAGTTCCCACTTCACCACACAAAGTCAATCACTAAATCACAATCTCCATCTTGTGTCCATTTCTGCTTAGCCCATGACAGAATGAAACTGTCAACATGTTCTTTTGAATTAGATGTGGGGGAATAATATAGTGCTTTGCAGCGAAGGTACATAAATTACTTGCTCTGCGGGCACACTAGTTGAAACCTTGAACAACATCTTTTTGGTAGGAAGGATCCCACAGTTCTCTGTTCTTCTCTCAAGCCCTTATTCAATACCGATTCAAACAGCAAGCTGTTCTCAAGCAGAGGGATTTATACAAACAGAGACGGTGAGAAATAGCAACAGCAGTCAGCTTTCTGGCCCTCTCAAGTACGGTCTCCCGAACAGTCAGCTCCTTCCTGTTCCCCTCACATTACACAAACCCCTTTTTGTGAAAATATTCACAACGTCGGAGGATTTGCAAGAGCCTCTGGGATGGAGAATTCTCAGAGACTCCCCAGAGCGACACGAAGGAATTTCTGCTTAGCTCTGGCTAAAACACATATGCTCCCTTTACTCTGAGATGGTGACCACCCCACCTCTCTCGTTTAGCCGCACTTATTTTGATTAGGTTGCCTCATCCTGTAAATTCCAGAGAATGCAGGCCCTTCCTATTCAGTCCCTCTTACAGGGCAGCCATCTTATCACAGGAGTCAATCTTCAAGCCCTGCCTAGCTGACTGGTCATAAGACGTCATTTTATTTTAAACCAATGTTGGCTGCGTTCTCTATTGTAGAGGTAATTATACTAACTCACTGAACACAATGTGCTGCCAAGATGAGATCGAATCTCTTGCAATGTGCCATACCCTGAATAATTTAGCCAGTCCCCAACATTAGAAAACTTGCAGCAGCTCTTTGTATAAAAATCTTTTTAAGAAACCCCACTCTCCAACTCTTGAAACAAAATCCTAGAACGATTCGGAATTTCTGCCTTCTGGTTTCGTGGGCAGGCTCCTTTCACAGAATAAAGTCACTGCAGGGGGAATTAAATAAATAAATAAATAAAACACCCTTTTTACATCCCTGCTGCTGCATTGCTGCACACACTTGTTCTTGTTTTTACAAGTCGCAAGATTAAGATAATTGTTTTAAAAATTATTCCATGGGATGAGGGCATTGTTGACTTGGCTTGTGTATACAGCCCCTCCCTAACTCTCCATGAACTGGGTAGCTTGCCTGCATCTTTTCAGAGGGCAATTAAGGATGGCAGATTTAAAAGGGCATTAGTGAACCAAGTGCTTTTTTAAAAAAAATGATAGGAACAGTGACCATGAACCCGAGACTAGTTTTCAACTCCAGATATTACTTGTAGAATTTGAAGCCGTCAGAGCCGCCGTGTCGAGATTTGAACCCGTTCCCCAGTGGGTCATGTACCATCCCGACTTGGAACTGGGTCACCGTTCCTTCACTGACACCTCATCAAAGTTCTGGAGCACCCCCCGCCCCACCCCACCAACAACAGTGTCCCTCCACCCCATACATTGCAGCAGCTCACCACCACCTTCCGCAGGGCAACGAGAGATCAGCAACAGATGCTGACCCAACCAGTGATGCAATGGCCCATAAAAATGAAGAACATCAATACACACATCCTCACTTTAGGATGGTTGATGGCTTTGTGTGCGAGTTTCAATCCCACTACGCACTGTTATGGCTTTTAAAATAACTCACAGCTATTGTACCACCTGTTCTGACTATCCTTTATTTGCCTCCAGGTTTCTCCTCTGCTGCCTCTCTGCTTATCCATTTAGCACACTTCCATAATTTCTTATATTCCCCTCTCCTCCATCTCTTTGCAGAATTTGCAATTCCTTCTTTATATCCTGTCTTAAATTTTGTTAGTTAAGATATGCCCATTTTTGTTTGGATTTCAATGCTTTCACTTTGTGTTTATCCCCGAATGCTGGAGAGTTTAAAAAAAAGTATTCTCTTTGTTATTTACTGAAGTATAGTAAACAATGCCAAATCTATGTGGCGTTTGACCATATTTGTCTCTCTCTCTCTAAGTGAGATGCCAGGCTTCTGATTCCCCAGGTTCAATGGATATCCCAGATCACGTTACAGGTCTCTTTCAGATTTAGCAGCAGGGCTTAAAATAAGATTACTTAGATCCTAACGAGGCAGTAGATGTCATTACAGGAAGTGGTACACTGTCACATAATACGGCTCTCATGCAGCATTGTGGTAAGATGGAACCACATGAAGCGGCACGTTTCCCTTACCTTAGTAAGCTTGTAAATACCCCTCAGCAGAATAACGAAACCAGGAATATTACAAGAGATGCTGACAAAAGGACATGATGACTGACATATAACTGCCAAGCTTTGGTGAAACCAGCTTGACTTTGATTGGTCAAAGCATTGCCCTGAGGAACAAACAAGCAAATGGATTGAAACAGGCACAATAAAACAAAGCTTGG